TTTTACAAAATCTTTGTTTTGTGAAAGTCCATCAAATAGAGCAGCCCAGGAGTTTGTGTTAAAGGAACAAATAAAGACTTAGAATCTGCCACATATTTATGCTTGTAACTATCATGGATAGCTCTTCCAAATTTTGTGTTTGAAGCTTTTTTACAGGGTCCAGATCTTTTTTATCAGATTTGAGCAACTAATGTTTTTATGTATTAGATGGGGGGAAATGATTTGTGCTCTTTAGAGTCTCGTTCAGGGACAAGGCATTTAAAAAAAATAAATTGTTAGTGTTTTAAAATTATGGGAGGAGGTGTAGCAATTTGGAAAGGAAAGTGTTTTATCAGAACAGAGACTTCCTGATGGTGCCTGGCGGAGGCAGAGCTGGGCAGAGCTGGCAGCTGGCTGATAGTAACAGAACAAATGGGACAGCAGGAATCCAGTGCCTTTGGAGCAGCTGATGGATGAATTGCAAATGCTGTTTTGTGCCCCTTTGTCTAAGGAGCCTTTGTTTTGCTGTTGGTTAATGGGAGATGGTCACCATGGCCAGGAGTAACTCTCTTGTGTTCTTAAACTGGTGGCTGTCTCTTTTGCAGGCTGATTTTGTCATCCATTGTCAGAAGAGGACAAGGAGATTCTCTTAATATTGGTCTGGAATCTTAAATTAAGGGAGAATCCCTTCATCTTGTCCCTGGGAGGTGGGAGGGAATGCTGCACACCTTACTGGTGACACCTGGGCTGCTAAAGAGAGTCTAAAGCCTTGGGCTTGACTTGCAAAGTCATGAGACCTGTTTGACATCCCCATCCCATGTTGTTCATCCAGTGTGGTCTTGCTGGACTTCCCTCAATGGCAGGAAAAGCATGAGGAGGGGTAGGAGAAGCAGCAGCAGTGGTGGTGGTTGGCAGGCTGGCGTTCCCTGGGGGGACATTCAGTTTTGCAATGAAACTCTTGGATTCTTGACAGGTCAGGTCTGTTGACCCTTCTGGGCACACTGTGGTGAGTGTTTAGTTATTTACTAAAGCCTTTTGAAGTGAAAGTGGCTTGATGGGGTCTGAGGCTTTTGTGCTCTGGAGAGTTGTGTGAGAATCTTTGCTGGGGTTAGCTATTAGCTGATCCTTTCATTACTTGGCTCTGTAACTAAGTAACTAAATGACTTGAGACTTAAGATAAGCAGCTCTTTGTTAACATTTTATTAAATGAGGACTAATAATAATAATAATAATGAGGATAATAATTTAAAACCTAAGGAAGTATAAATCTCTCAGTGACCGAATCTGGAACAGAAACATGATTTGGAATACAATTGCATATCTTAATAATCTGAAATAGAGCAGTCAGAGTGTCCCCAGTCTTCTATTGTGGTCGTGGCTGTTATACAAACAGTGTTTACTCCACTTGATGGCTGGATGGTGTAAACCATGCTGTGAGGCTGTATGAGCAGGCAGAGAAAAAGTTCACAGCTGTTTATTTAACAGCAGCTTGGTTTTCCATGGCAGTATTGTTCAACAGCTCCACCTATAAAGTTTAAATACATTGTGTGCCACCACTATTACAAATAGGGATGTAGCTGAGAGCAGAAAATAGCAGAAGCAGTGTCCCCTGTCCTGCAGTGTTTAAGAACAGCCAGAGTCATTCTGCACGTGCCTCTGTTGCTTGTTTGGTGCTCTAAGGGGTGACACACAGGTAATTCATGTCAGGTAGTGCACCTTCGCAGGAGGAACCAATGCCACAGTCACAGGATTGGCTTAAAAAGGAATCTTGTGCCTTCTTATAGTCAAGAAATCTCTGCAATGAGCTGGGACATCTTCAGCAGACCAGACTGCTCAGAGCCCTGTCCAGCCTGGCTTTAAATGTTTCCAGAGATGGGGCATCCACCCTCTCTCTGGGCAACCTGTGCCACCCTCATTATAAAAACTTTCTATCTAATCTGACAAACCTGCCAAAGTGCTGGTTCACAGGTCCCTGGTGATGGTTGAGGATGCAGTTCAAAGGCAGAGCTTCCATGAGGGCTGGAGGAGCTGGATGTGATAGCAGGTCATCAAACCTTGCCTGGGGAACAGGAAAAGAATCCTGCTGTCAGCCATAGGGGAGACACTGGTTTGATGCTACAGCATGGACATGAGTTCAAAATTTGCCCCTAAATTTCAAAGCAGTGGAAAAATCCATGTGTAGTGTCCCAGGAAGAGTTAACACAGCAGGATAAGTTGTTTATGTGCTGCTGGGAATTTCTGAACAGTTTGAACTGGTTGATTTTCGCAGTGAAGCTGTTGGGCAGATTCATACCTCAGTATCCCACCTGTTCTCTGTTTGCTTTTGGGCACCATTTCAAACCCACACTGGAAAAAAAGTTTATAGGCAAACATTATAAAAAGTGACAGTCTTAAGTGCTGCTACATTCTAGTTTGGCAACATAAAGGCTTACCTGAAATAACTCACGATTTCCAAACATGACTTCATTATATCATGACAACACTTTGCTACATCTTCCCTGATACTCTAGAGAGAAATAAATGGAGGAGGATAATATATACCAAATACTAACACCCATTTGAAACTTGTTTTCCTCTAGTGTACTAGTGATTTCCTTTGTAAAAGGAATTTTTTTAATTGTATTTTTGAAATAAATTACTGTTCTCAAGTTTGGATTTGTGTTGAAAGACTCAGTGCAAATTTGGGGGTAGCAGTTTAAAAAGAGATGAAATCAGGGATGTGATGTTAAAAAATTATTTTCAATTTAATTTCCTTTTAATTGTGTGTGGGCTCTTCCTGTGAGTTTCCTGGCACTGTTCAGCAGAAGCCTCTAATGCACTTAAGGAGGGTTGAGGTACCATCACCCAAGGTGGCTTTTAAAAAAGTTTAAACAAAGACATTTTTAGACTCCAGTACATTGTTGGCATGGTGTAAACTCTGTAAAAGAAATTTTCTTTGCAAGTAGAACATTACAAAGAAGTCTTACTAACTTCAAAGGAAATTAGGTAACTGGTTTCAGGTACCTTCTTTTATTTGACAGTGAAATCTAATTAAAAAAATTCTCAAGCAGATTCAAACACAGTCATTACTGTGATGAAATAGATGTAGAAAGGAGCTCCTTCTGGAAATTCAATTTCTAAGAGCATAATGTAGCACTCAGGGAAACACCTGCATTGCAGACCTGTGGGTTCATGACTGTATCAGCAAGACTGAATTAGTTTATAAGGGGTATAAATCTGTATTGGAGCCTGTCCTAGACTCTTGAGATGGAACTGTGCACGCTAGAAAGTTTAGAGACCTTGCTGTAAAGTCTAAATCCAAGAAGCTTTACAGTCTCTGTAACTAGTTGTGCGGGGATAGGTTTTATGTGTCACCTTGGTGTCGTGTGTGTCAAATCTGTTCTTTGAGAAACCATGTTTGCCCTAATGAGAAAGGCAGGAGAAGCTTTGATAGGGCACATTTCTGCAAGGACAGGATTGCAGGGTGAGCAGGAGAGAAATTGGGTCTCCAGGTCCCATCAGTAGAGCCTGGTATCTACATGCACAAGTTCCCCACCATGCTGGACCCTTCTGGTGCTCGTGGAATCACATTTCGAGTTGGAAGGGACCCTTGGGGACCACGATGTCCATCTCCCTGCTCCTTGCAGGGCTGCACACAGCTGCTGACAGAACTTCAGCATTTCCAGACTCCCATCTACAGGCCTGCTCAGATGTGGTGCTCATTTCAGGCTTCCCTGTTCAAAGTGTGATACAAAAAATGACAACCCAAGGATGAGGAACACTGGTTTCAGGGTTTTGGCATTCTTAGAAGGAAGTGTGGCCATCTAAGAGTCACCTTTTAGTACTCCCTTAGAGTCCCAAGCAGACATAGAGGTGTTTTATTTATTCCTCGGTGCAGTTGGTGCCTTGTGCAGGGCAGGACGTGTCCGGGGTGCGCGGGGAGCAGCTGTCTGTGCGCTCTGACCCTCCCCATGAGCAAACAGAAGATGCCTCTGTGCTTCTTTCCTTTATTTACCATTCCTGCCACCCTTGGCAAGGCCCTTGGTAGAGGGATAGTGAGGTGGTAGGGAGAAACCTGTTCCAGAAGCAGTGCCTGTATGTGGGTACACTTACCTCTGGAGTGCCTGGTGCTGCAGTTCCTTCCCCCTGCTGAGAGCTGGCCCTGCAAGGGGGGGATGAAGCTCTAGTAACTGTAGGCAGATGTAGTTTTCCAAGGATGTTTTTTTTAAAAAAAAGACTGTGGTTTGACATTCTTCTTGTTACTGGGTTACAAAAGGGAGCTGATGGATGAGCCGCTTCGTTCTTAACTTCTGTGCGTACTTTGAAAGCTTTGCTTGTGCTCCTGGGCTTCTGCTGTGTTCCACTTGGGAGAGGCTGTGAAATAAGTCAGGAAGCAAAAAAAGAATTTAAAGGAAAAAGTTACTGTCGTGGAGAGAAGTGCTGGTAGTGTAGAAGGCAAATGTAGAGACTCTGAGGGGCGCAGAGAGAAAAATAAAAGACATTGTATATGCTGTGCATAGGAGCTCATGTTTATTAGCTTAGTGAGTCAGGAGGTTTGGGGCATCCTTTTCTTTCAAAACAGCACTTCCCAGGTTCTAAAAATTAAAAAGCAATTTCTGATATAATTATTCATTTGAATTGTGGACCCAAATGCTAAGATAGAAAATGGAATTTGCCTTTTGAGCCCCTCCTGCTCCTACAAGTCTTTTGAAGCCTCCAGGTTCTGCAAGCCTCATTGTTCCCTGCTCTCTGTGACCGGTGAGAAGAGTCCTGTGTTGGTGTGGCACTGGGGACAAGGGACATGGCAAGACACTGATCAAAAGTGCTTGAGCTTTACTTGTGGTGAACTTCTTGAAAACAACCTGCATGTGGTTCAGTTTTACAACACAGAATGCTGGGCTAATCTGGATGAAACTTTTTTTTTTTTTTAATTTAACATAACTTGATTTCCGTGGATGAAAAGGGCCTTCACTGACCTGTGTTGGAAATTCTCTCCTTTCCCTTCTCTTCTATTTTTTCCTCCTTTCCTTCCACCTTCGCAGAGCCGCCAACCAAATACCAAATCTCTCAGCCAGATGTTTACTCAGCACTTCCAGGAGAGCCGCTTGAGTTGCGCTGTCAATTGAGAGACGCCGTCATGATCAGTTGGACTAAGGATGGGCTCCCTTTGGGGCCTGACAATAGGACAGTGATTATTGGGGAGTACTTACAAATTAAGGATGCCACAGCCAGAGATTCGGGCCTCTATGCTTGCACTGCTGTTAGGACCCTAGACAGTGATACTCTGTACTTCATTGTAAATGTTACAGGTGAGTGAGTCCAGCACAGATTTTTGCATGCAGAAGCTGTAAAATGTGATGTTAAGACTCATTATGACCTAACATGAAACAGTCCACTTGGGCACCGCGAGTTAAGAAGAGTTCTGTAGCTGTTTTGGGGATTTTTTTCTCCTTGTCCTGACCCTGAAATGGGCTCAGTTGGTATCTACTCCTTTTTGCTCCACAGCGATTAACAGCTGCTGTAGAGTTCTCTGTTTTATGCCACTCTGGCAGGATTAGAGTTGCTGTGATGATGATAAAGCCAGTAGAATGAATACAGGTTTTTTCCCCCTGCATCAGAAGAGGAAAATGTGTGTTCTACATCCTTCAAGTTTAGACATAAATTGTTTTGGAGATGCTCAGTTCTGTTCAGCTGCATTTCTGTAGCAGGAGTTAAAATACTAAGTGGAAAGAGATTTTTGCAATTTTTAGCAAACTCCCTTGGGAAACTTTGTAGCACTTCAGGACTATTAGCTAGCTTTGTTGCAATTTTACATGGAAATAGCACATTTTTTTGGCTGGATTTTCTTTTTCTCTAACTTCTGCACAACTAACCTAAACACTTGTTCTTCTTGTTATACAATCTAAGATGTAGCTTATCTATTTATTTGTCTGTAAAAAAAAATAAAAATAGGCTGGTTTAAAGACTTGGTTGTTTTTAATGTGCAGATGCTCTTTCCTCTGGGGATGATGAAGATGACAATGATGGGTCTGAGGACTTTGTGAATGACAGCAACCAGATGAGTAAGTAACAGCGAACTGCCAGAAGCCACTAGCAAGATCCACGTGGAAAATTATGTCCCCTCTTTTGCACTCCTGTCTCCAGAGCTTCTTGATTGTTAACTGCATGTACTGTCAAATAGTGGTCTCTTTGTCCTCCTCTGTTTTCTGTTTCATGTGGCTCGTAACTTGGAAAAGAAAAAAAAAAATAAACTAATATTCTTTTGAACGTGCTTTTCTGGTCTGTACTTTCTTTTTTTCCCTTCTACCTAGCATTTCTGCAGTTTCCTTTCTTCCTGAATCGAAGTTCAGTCTTTGTCTGGTTTAGCCTCTCACAGATGAACTAACTTTTCCTGAACCTGAGCAGAAATTCAACACAAGAAACAAAGATCCACCTCATTTCGTTAAAAGGTAGTATGAAAATTTAAAAAAAAAAAATTAAGTTGTAATGAGGAAAGTCCTTTAATCCCTAATCTCAGCAGAAATCTCCCCAGGGAGAATGAATTTGGAGACAATGAACTTCTTTTGTCTGCAAAGGACCTTAAGGTTTGCTGCAAAGAAAGCAATTCAGTGCTAAACCCACATTTTATATTACTTATACGTGATGAAAATGGGCTAAAAGAATCTTAAACCCATCTGAATGCGTTAAACTTCATCCCCTTTAGAGAATTCATAAAGCTATTAATAAGCTCTAAATAGAGCACTCTCTAAGAGGAAAAAAGAAGTGTAAAATTCATATTGGCTCCTTATGTCCCTGTGCAGTGTTGCAAAACCCCCTCGGTGCTGGTGGTTTGGTGTCGCTGGTGCCTGGTGAAGTCAATAACGCGGAGAGCACAGAAATCCTTTGTGGGAGGTGTTGGTGAGCAGCACCCACAGCGGGCAGGGAGTGCAGGGAGTGCATTTGCTGCTCAGCCTGGTCAGGAGCTGCTCTGCAGCTTGGAGCACTTGTTCAGGTGGTAAAGCACAAGCCTCATCTCAGCTCCCCTGCTCAGTGCCTTTTGTGTGTGCCTGCCCCTGGCCTGGAGCTGTGAAACATTAGATGCTATTTAAAGTGATATAAGTTCCTAGCTGCCTGTTTGGCCTCTGCCATCTGTTAGTGTGATTAACCCTGGGCTGATGCACAGGTGCCTCTGGAAGGGGCTGAGATCAGGCAGCTGGAGGCTGCCCTGACAGAGGAATGCAGGGGCAAAGAGAATTGGAGAGCTTGGAAAAGGGATGCTGCTTTTAAAAGAGATTGTCTAGGCAAAACCCACCCATCCAGGCAGTGATAGCGCTGCCCTGGAATGGAACCGTGGTTAGAAATTCCTTTTAGGAAACATTTCCGATGTTTGCCGTTCCTTAAAGCTTTACCGGCGTTCGTCAGAAAACGGCTTGCGATATTTTTGGTGGCAGTTGTGCTTCTGGTCTGCAGTGTGGCTTTGGTGATCCATTGTGAGCATAAAAGGCTTTTGGAATGAGTAAAGGACTTGCTCTCAAGGCAGCTGTGTTCTGTAATGGCCTCAGAAGGATTCCTGCCCTTCCAGCGACAGGGAGCGGTGCCCAGTGGTTGCGCTAATGACCTTCTTGTAAAACGAGCTATCATTTTAAGCTACTGTTAATCAATCTTGATTGGGGAGCTGCTGAAAGGCCCTTGACAGTGTTCATCTGCTGGGACAGGGGTGTGTGCTGCAGCAGGGGCCAGGCACACTTTCCCTGCTCTGAGTGAAAGATGTTTCTCAAGCGTGAACGTTTAAACATCGCGGATGGCGGGGAAAGCGCGGCCGTGGAGATGGAAGGGAAACGGCAAGAGGACAGATTTGGGCCTGAGCAGTGCTCCACAAGCAACTCCTGGTTGGATTGCTCTTTAAAAGGTGCTCACTGTCTGCTGAGGGAGCAGCACGGCCTCCTGGGGTCTGGGCTGGAAGCAGGACAATGACTGAAGGGTCATGGCACCCTCTCCCTCCAAGTATTCTGTGTTCAGTGAAAAGCTGCATCACAGTAACTCCCTTGGATTAATACAAGGCTGCTGAAAGAGGGTTGTGATTTGGCAAGATGAGATATGTGTGAAAGCCAGGGGTGGGACTCGGTGTGGTGTGTCTAGTGCCTTGTAAGCCTTCTTTCAGATTTTCTGTGGCACCCAAGAGGCCACATCCAACTGAAGATACTGGGTTACAAGGCAGGTGGGAGAGTGAACCGGGAGCTGTGTCTGTGTGTGCTGTGGTGCACAATGGCCAAATGCCCTTTACCTTCCCTGCCTATGGGATGTTGACCCTGGGGAAGTCCATGACCTCACTAGAGTTCCTGGCTGCTGGGTCTTTTACAGAAGTCTTTTAAGTGTTTCCTCAATCATGGTTTGAGCTTTGCAGATCTCAAATGATTTAACTGATAATTTACATACAAATTACAGCTGTGATCATTAAGGATAAGCAATGGCAATTGGCCTGGTTATGCCTTTACTGATGGAAACAAAAGACCATAGTCTTCAAAGGTTGTTGCTTTTTGATGAAACAATTCTGATAAAGTCCAGCTGTTTTGCCACGTTAATTATGATGAGATGAGGCAGGAAATGGCTGTAGTGCCTTCAACAGGAAGCTGAACCTTGGCATTCTCATTCCTGCATACTTAAAACTAAACCAAACCTTTTAGAGCTGTTTTATTTACATTGCTAAGCATTCTTTTAATCTGTTTTATTTTCTTTGCCTCTGTTACAAATACATATTTCAGAGGCCAAATACTTACAAATGCAGGTGGAGAGGCTGTTGGGGGAATCTAGTGTAATTTTCAAGGCTGCCCAGAAAACACAATTGCTCTTGAAGTCAGTGGAGGCTGTAGGTGACTGTAGATGTGAGGAGCAGCTCCTCCATGGGAGAGCAGGGCACTGGTGTGTACCCACGTGCATTTCACCACTGGCCCTGGGTGTATTTTTTGGTAAGAGGCTCGCAGAGGAGATTTCACTCTGTCTTTGCTGTCCCTTTAGCTTGACAGATACTTTAACTGCCTGAAAAAACACTGTGGTAGATTTGTTCCAGACTGCATCCTGAATGGCTTTTTATTACTTCCAGCTTTTGTTGAATGGATTAGTGCTCATGGGGAAGGTGCAGGATTGGTTCCACTGCAAAGCAGTCCCTTTTCTCTACGAAATGGCTTTTTTTGCAACTTGAGTTTTCCCCTTTGTCACCCTAAAGATGTGCCTTAGCTTGGTTCTTGGAGGGTCATCTCCAAGGACTTGCTTTTACAAACTTAGGTGCTGAGCATCATTCTGGCAGCAGTGGAAAAGACATTGCTGACACTTACTGCCTTGTCCTCACTGTGATTTTGAGAGTTAGCCCTAATTTGAGGGATTTCTATAATCATGACCTGATGCTGGCCAGGCAGCAGCTGTTGTGGTGGTTGAAATCAAGTCCACCAGCAAATTTATTCTGTAGACCTGTGGGTAGCACTGAAGATGCTGCTGCTCTGCCTTGAATTCTGGTCAGGCAACTTGAAGCTTTATGACTTTTTTTTCTTATCGCCCTTTAAAAAATTTCTTCTGGGCCAAGCAATGGTAAATTGGCACCAAGAACAAAAAGTATCTAAATGTAATCCACATGCTGTTCCTTTCATGCCTTGAAGAGTTTCAGAAAGGATGAAGCAAGGTTCAAATTCATCAAATCCTGTAGAGTGGAAACCCACTCAGGGGAGCAGCAAAAATTGGATGTTGCCTAGAAGTGTTTTTTAATTAAAGGTCAAATACAATAGCACTGAAAACCTTGGAGGGGTTTGATGTGGTCACTTATGGTGCTCTATTGCCTGCTTGAGGTGCTTGTCAGGCAGGCTTGGAGTTGACTGCTTTCGTATTTCTTTGTATTAGATAAGTCCAAATAAAAACTGAAGAGTCCTGAAGTGAAGTGGTCCCCTGGGCTTCCTAATTTCAATTTCACATGCAGGAGATTTGGCTGATTAGATGTAATGTCTGTGCAGTGTGGGTCAGCAGGATATTTTCTTCACTAATGAGAACTCTAAAAGCAATCAGGAATTCCCACCCGTTCCCCTGCTGCTCCTTACTGCTTCATGCTGGAGTCTGCCCTGTGGTTACTGTGAACTTTTAGCAGTGCTGCCACCTATTTCCACCTGTCCTGGTAGCAGTGATGGGATGTGATGGACACGGCCTGTGGGAGCAGTCAGCACCTGGTGGTACCTACTCATTAACTATGTTCATTATGGGTTTTAGCGAAGCTCGGTGGTTTTCCTCTCAAGACAAATAGAAGCACTGAAAGGTTTTAGATTATGATGATTTAATCAATAAAGAAGAATGGTGTGTGTTAATCAGATCAATCGCTGGGTGAAAGCACAATTTGAGGGCAAGTGTGATGGTCTGTGGATGTTGCTGCCTTTTCCTCTTTTCCTTGAACATGCTGAGGAGCTGCCAACAATCAACAATGTAGAATGTCTTGAAGCATTTTCAGATGGTGTTTTCCGTATGTGATGTCTGCATGTTTTTCTCCGAGCTGACCTGTAATTTAGGAGCATTTCAGGTTATGCTGAGGGTTGTGTGAGGGGAAGCTTTCCAAACAGACCTTTCTCCCATTTTGGGTAATTCCTTTTCTTTCCCCTTCTGTGGGACAGAACTGAGCTGCTTCTCTTCATTCCTGCCTGCATCTCACTGGCCTCTTTTCTGCACCCATCTCTGTCAGAGGTTTCCCTCTGTGCATTTGTTGTATTGGAGCTTCTCCAGGAGCAGATTATTGATGGAAAGGATACTTATTTTCGAGAAAACCTGAGGATGGGATGCACTATAATGCAGTACAAACCTGGCTTTATTTGGGGAGCTGCTGGTGGCTGCATCCTGACCGACTCCAGTGCCCTGGTCCCAGTCTGCAGGCTGATGGGAGCTTCCCAGAGCCTGACCCTTCCAGCCCCTGTGAGAAAGGTTCATGTGCTGGATGTGATGAGAAGTGACCGTGCTGGCTGCAGAGTTGCTGGATTGGCAGTACCCACTTGGATAAAGTGAGCACCCTGCCCTGGCTGGGGTGCTGAGACAACTGGTTTGGATGGCTGGTTGCCTTTGACCTGCCCCAGTTTGCTTTGACTTTGTGGGAGCTGCGAGTAGGGCCCAGCAGTGGTTGCCTTGTGGAAGATTTTTTAGCAGTCCAGGGAAAACAGCTTTTTAATCCCTCAGTACCAGCATGTAATTCTGCCTTTGCCTGGTGTACTTGTAATGTAATTTGGCCTTTGCGTGTAGCAGTTAATTCCTCTGCTTGGCTTTGTTTAAAGTCTTCTGTTGCTTTAATGTGATCCTGCTTTTAGCAAATAATGTTAACAGCGATTTCCCTTGCATCCCTAATTCACTTTAGTCTGCGTAACAATTTCTTAGTGTTGCAGTTAAATTTTCAATAGTTACTTGATTTTCTATTTTGATTACATGCACAAATTTGCTTTGCTTTTCTACTTCATTAATTTTAACACTAATTGCCACTTCGGGCAAAAAAAAAAAACCACCAAACCCAAACACTTATCGTTCATAGCATCATTATAGGACTTGCTTTTAGAATGTTTTCTTTATACTGAGAGAGACTTTGTTAAAGGATTTATTCCTGTATTTTCTGTCCAGCTGTATTTTTATTTAGAGAGGGGGGTAGCAGGATTTGTGAGCTTGCACTGATTGTAAGAACTGCTATAAATATTTGAGGAACGGAAGAGTTTATTTATAGTGGAGTGTTGGCCTGCTAATGAAGGAAATGAAACAGGGCTCAGAGAAATGGAGTTATTTTTCTGGACCCCTCTAGTCCTAAAAATTCCACGCTAATCTGATTTGCTTCAGGAAAACTCCATTGTAAAAGAAATTAATGTTTCCTACTATTAAACAGATCTTGAATCTTTAACTTTTTTAAAGAAACTGTTATAGTGAGACGACTGAAGCAATGCCATAAAGATGTTGAGAAATGTAGATGAAGTGGTGCAAGGATCCAGAGCACAGGATAACTTTGTCTTTGGGTCTGGGTATCCAAGTTTAACTCTGTGAGGATAAAAACATATGGGTAGTTGTAAATTTTGTTCTGCTGTGTTTCCTCTACTGGTACATGACAAATGTGCTTCTAATGATGTTCATGTGGGCACAGGCTGGGCCAGGACATGGCAAAGAGTGAGTGAGAGCCAGGAGAGCCATGTCAGGGTCTGGGAAAAGTGATCACCTCAGAAAATGAGGGTTGAGAGAGAGGCACTCTAATTTTATGCCATGTTTTTGGATGTTCCTGACGCTTTGGGCTTCAAGAGGCTCATTGGTGTGGGAAAGGCCTCCAAAATGATCGATGTTTTTTGCTGATCCACATTTACTCATTCGCTTTCCTCTGCTTGGGTTAAGATTTCAGAAGTATGTTCCGTCCGTAAATACATTTCCTGTGGCAGTAGCAGCGCAGTTCACCTTGGCATCGCTCACAGTGGGCTTTAGCGTGCTGTCAGACAGATGGGTGCTTTTATCCCCCTTCTCACAGAAGGGGAAAGGGAAAGGCTGATGTTTCCAAGCATCTTCTGTCTTGCTCTGTCTGGCTTCACAAAAATTCTGAGTTTAAACCATCACAGTAACTCAGCTCGAGGTCAAAAGGGCCTGATAAAAACCCTGTCTTATTGACATACGCAAAACAAAGGTTGTCTGTGGTTAATTATTGGAATTTTGTCTCAAATTAAATACCCGGAGCAGCAGACCGAGCCGTTTGCAAAACCCTGGCTGACGCTTGCAGCATGTGATCTCCAGTCGCGCACTCTTTAAACCGCGCTTAAATCGCGTTCGTGCGGCTCTTTGCGCCGCTGCCAGGGGCTGCAGAGGGAGCTCAGTTTCCAGGTGCTGATGTTTCTGGATGTGTCCCTTTGGAACAGGGGCGCCTTACTGGACACACACGGACAAAATGGAGAAGAGGCTCCACGCCGTGCCGGCCGCCAACACCGTCAAGTTCCGCTGCCCGGCCATGGGGAACCCAACACCGACCATGCGGTGGCTGAAAAACGGGAAGGAGTTCAAGCAGGAGCATCGCATCGGCGGGTACAAGGTGAGGGCTCACGATGGCATTTTGTAATTTCTCTTCTTGACCAAAGCTGTAAAAAAAAACCCAAAAAAACCCCAAAACAAACAACCCAAAGCCAACCCTCCTCCCCCTCAAAAAAATCAAAACCAAAAACCCACCAGAAACTTGCTGAAGTCAACAGAAAATCTTTTAATGGCTTTGGATCAAATGTGGAAGCAAAAAGAGGTGGTTGTTTTCTTCTGGGGAAGGGTGGGTGGTTTCTTTGGCGGTTACTGTGCACTAATTCTATATTTATTTTTTTTTTTCTGAAATTCAAGCTAAGCTTCTAGCCTAGCTGTACAGCTAAGGATTATTTATAGAGGCGTATTTGGAAAACCAAAGACTGACTTAGCAAAGCAGATTAAGACTGTTTTGCTCTATTCATTTTTGGCTGCATTGCTAAAAACATGACCATCCGCTTTGGTGAGTGTAAGGCAGTTTAATAAAGGAAGCCCTGGAAGTCAAAAGTTACTATTTTCTATAGAGTTTATGGCCTGTGAAACTGAAATGGGAAGAAGAATTTGAGGGAAAGTAACAGCAATTACTTGGAAGGGTTTGTTTGAATTTTAAGTAGCTTCAGATTAGATGTCTTGTTCTGAGTTGGTGGTTACTGATTAAGAGAGAGTTTTAGGGAGGCCAGCTCGCTCTGTGTGTTGGTGCACGGACCTTTAACCTCCCAGTATCTGCCTAGGTCAGGTCAGAAGTCAGGATTCGGTCATCTGATCCCCCTCCTCCGAGGAACTGGGAATGCGTGACTTGGATGGCAAATTGCTGTTCAAGCATTGCCATTTCTGACTTCCTTTCAGCTCTTGTGTGGGTCGTCTCTCAGCGGTTTCCTCACGCCCCCGACTCCTCCCCGAAGAGGAGAAGTTTCTGAGGCAGTCACCTTGTGTCAGGGCTGGAATCCCCAGCCTGGAGCTTGTGCTGAGCTGCTCTGAGCAGTTTGCCATGGTGGTTAGACACAGGTTAGCTGTCTTTGCTAGGCAGAGCTCAGTTCTGAGTCCTGAGGCTGCCCCCCAGTCCCACACCCCTGCCTTGCCCCCATGGTTGTGTTTTTGGGGGGCTGCCTTGCTTGGGCCATTGCTTTGTCAGCTGTCGATTCAGGTCCTGCTTGGTGCAAAAAAATCTGTTTTCCAGCGCAGAGGACAAGCCTCAGCCTCCTTCCCTCTCTAGCTGGGTTTACTGCAGAAAGTGTCAATTTTTCCAACATTTGTGTTAGCAGAGAGCAGAGCCCAGAAAGCCTCCCCGCATGAGCACTAATTATCTAAGTAGACTTTTCCATCTATGTTTGCTTACACCATAAATTTCTGTTGCTTATGAGTGTACACCTGGCAACACCTTCTGCCTTTCATAAGGCTGTGGACTGTTAACGAATTGGCTCCAATTCAGTGGTTTTTGCCCTTCTCAGTGCTTTTTTAAAAACCAAAAAAGTGCCAATTAAGGAAAAAAAAACCCTCAACCAAACTAATCCTGTCTTGGAAAATAATAGTAACTATTCTGGTAGTTACCAGGCTGTTATTTTGAATGCTTTGCATCTGATGAAGGGGAAATGAAGATACCACTTTTGAAGGCCATGAAGGAAAATGTGTGTCTAGAGAGACAGGATGGAGATACCTGGTGTCTTCTTTGGGAGGGGGATCCTTGGTGGGGTAAATCAGCTGGTGTGGGGCTCTGTGCTGGCACTGCAGGTCTGTGTTAGGGAGCTGGGTGAGATCATTTAGAGCTGTGCCCATTAAGTGGCACAAATTAAATTTTTGGTCATGTGTATTAAATGTATGCAATTCCCTAGGTATGTATGTAGTCTGGGAAGGAGTTACAGATGCCTGTTCCTAAAGCCAGCTGGATATGTGAAGTCTAAGTCTAATTCTAAATCTTAACTTCTTATATCTCTTTAGTCCAGAGAAAAAAAAGAGGGGACACAGCTGAGGATTTCAGAGTTTCTTGTTGCTCAGAAATAGGTTAAATTTTAAATTTTGTTGTAGGATTTACTTACCATTGTCAAATCTACCAAATCCATGTATATTCTATTTTGTGTCATTTTGAATAATCATCTTTGAAGATAGAAGCTTGTTCCCAGTGAATGGGTGTTAAATAGTGAGGACTCCAGAGCTTTGGGAACCTGTCTCCTCAGCCTGTTAGAGGGGCAGGATGGAGTCTCTGTGAGCTCATGCAAAATTATCCTAGAACAGGGAGAGAATTACATTTTCTCCACACCACTATTGCAATGAACTTTAAATGAAGGAATCCTCAGGAGGGTCTGAGTCTATCAGTGCTGGCCTGTGCTCAACCAGGCGTCACAGCAGCTCATGGTAAATCTTGCACATCAGCTTGTCTTGAGTCTGGGTGTTGCTCTCTGCAGGGCATTCTCCCTGGAGATATTCACAATACTTTGGGATAGAATAGCTGGAACCAAACCTGGCCATATCTGACAGAAGAGACAATCATCCCCTGAAGCCTTAAGGGACAAAGGGAAGGGAAAGAAAACCTGAAGCTTCCCAGTAATCCTTCAGCCACCTCTTTCCTGCTAAGAGCTGAGAAATGCCTTGGTGTATTGTTTTTATCTAAATCAGATAGTGGCCTGTAGCACTTTGTCCCTGGACTGGGGAATGTCTTGAGTCAATTTGCAGTCAGGCAGGCTAGCAGGAGGGTGTATGTGCTGGCCAAGATAGCTTCCAGGGCAGAATTCCTGCACTGTGACTAATTCTGGGTGGTGAGTTTCAAAACTGATCCTTCTATCATCTTTCAAGATATACCCAACCTCCTTAAAATAAAGAGAACAGGACCAGTTGTTGAATATCTAAATCCTTTTTAGTCAGATTTTTTGAAGTGATGATAACTCTTGTTTGTGTCTTGAGAGGCATTTTCTGTTTTCTTTGAGTTGATAATCTAAATCCTCTCTGAGACCACAGGAGCCTTTTCTTTCCTGTACACCACCCAGAAAGCAAATTCAGTTCTATCAGCTGTTACTGTTTAAGCATTAACACGTGTGTGTTTTCACCTATGCCTTTGGATAAGCTTCATCACTGCAGTTGTCTTAAACACATTTAAATCCAGCCAGGTAAATACAGAGTATTTACCTGATTTTTGAAAATTTCTGATTATAGGAACAACTGCACAAGCCTCTGGCCTTTGCCATGGGTGTTCTGTGTTTGTTCTCTTTATCTGAGCTGTACCACTGTACTGCTGTCTGAAATGTGCTGAAACTCTGCTGCAAAATTGTCTGAACAATTTTGTGGAGAATTGTACTTTGGTTTCTAATCCTTCTTTCCTTTGAGTTTAGTTTAAAATGGATCCATTTTTAGCTAAGTGACAACTTTTCATGATGTTGCCTCTTCAGTGAAGACACACATTTTAAGACTGAACAGAACTGTCCACTGCTCTTTACAGGATATTCCAAAAGCAAAAAGTTTCTATGAAAAATTCCTTGCCCTTTCCCAGTTCCCTGACCAATATGTCTTGGCATTTTGATTCCAGTGTTTCCCACCTCCAAGCTACAACTTAAGGGTGCAGTTTGTATGCATTTGGTACTGATAATTCAGTTTTAAAATTGAATCTTTTGGAGAGATTGTTTGGAAGAATGATTAAAAACTTGATGGAGAAGATTTCCCCCCCGGAGAAGCTGTCAGTGATTTGCTAGAAGAGTCCATAACAAGTCTGGAAAAAAAGCTGGACTAAGGGATGTGGCATTTCATTTAAAAAGGCCACATTACCAAAGCCTGTGTTTCAAGCTGTGTGGGTGCAGGGATGTGGCTGGACTGTTGCATGTCTGGGAATGAAATGTTGAGTTTGGAAATCTTCAGTGAGAGAAGAGGCTGCTCATTCCCAGCAAAGGGGGTTTTTCCTGGTCTTCGCAATGCTGCACTTGTAGCCACAAAGCACTGAGCCAACAATCTCGTTGGATCCAGATCCCTTACATAAATCCATTTGTCTGACAATGTGTCATAACTGCTTTGGACCTCTACAACAGTTGTTTAGCTTAAATCAAAGTGGCTTAAGCTGTTGTTTTGTTATAAAGATATTATCTCTGTCCATGCAGTTACAAGAAGGGAAATTGCACAAATACTTTTTGATCCAGTATATCTACTTGTGGCTCTAAGTTAGTTATGTTTTCTTAATGAAAATAAACAATTTCTTGTGTTTTCCTGTCAAATTAATTACCTGAAGCTTGTTTACAATTTTTGTTTTAACTTTTGTGGAACTATGATCTGCTCTTCCTGTTTTTACGGTCAGATTGGTTAAAAACTCTTGCTCTGATTCCGAGAAGAGTGTTTTGACTTGTTATGGCAGAAAGTTCAGGTCACTTTGACCAAGTGTCCTTCAAAATAAATCACAAAGAAGTAAAATACTCAAAATGTGTAGCTGTTGCATTTGTAGTTTACCAACAGTTTATGACAGCGGTTCTTCCTGACCCAAATTTTGACTTTCAGAGTTGTTTAGCAGAAGAAAGAGATGTTGAAATAACACTGATAAACTCTTTCTAGTTCTATAAACTTATTCCTTAGCTCTTCACAGTGTGGAGAAAAATCAATTATATTGATTTTGATGAAATCAGTATAATTGTTTGACCATCAACACCAGGCGCTGATGAGAGAAGCCTTAAGTTTGGGCTGCAGATTTTGAGGCTGTTTCACACATTTCTCTGACGTTAGCTTAGCATCTTCTCCTGCTGCTGGAGTCTTGCCCACGCTTTGCTTTTCAAAGCCCACATGGCCAGTCATTAGCTAATATTATTAGTCCACAACTGGGCAATAATACACATATCCAGCTACTGAGATAATTACTAGCTGGGGGAACTAGGAAAGCCAGGAGCTGCCTATAGAGAGAACTTCTCTTCCAAGCTTTGAACCGAAGACATTTTTACCTCCAGCAAGTGCTCTTGGCATTGGGATGTGGCCCTGTGCAGCTTTTCTTGCTGGATAAGGAACTACAAAATAGTCAGGCACGATGCAGGATTTCATAACTATAGTTGTAATGATGTTTTAAGAATGTATGGTTACTGGAAGTGTCACTGAATGGTCCATAAATTTTTCTGGTGCACAGCACTGAGTTACTGCTTTCCATTTGGCTGATTAAAATGACTGTACCAGACTGTGTTTTATTCCATTTGCTGAAATATGTACTTTGCAGTTGAAGAATTGTACCTTGCAGCTACAGAGAATGTTAAGCTTTCTGAGCACTTTGTCAAAGATGTAATGCTAAAACAAGGAATTAGTCCATAGCCAGCAGAAGGTCATTTTGGGAGCCAACTTCTGATACAGGAAATATATGTATGTACTGGATGGCTCTGTATCCTTCCAGTACTGGGCTGAATCCTATTTTCTGTGAGACCAGTGCCAGCCCTCCTTTGGAGTTCAAATGGGAACAGAATCAGTACCTTGAATACATTCTGTCTGAGAGGGATTCTGTGAGACAAGTGTATATCCTTACACTCTGTTTCTGTGAGGCCTTTTTTCAGGCATTTTTCATGAGGCAGCATGATTCTAGGATTCATTTCTTTACTGGGGTACCCCAGAGCAGCAGAAGTTCTGGGGGAGGAATCCCAAACATCACCCCTCAGATTCTCTAGAACATGAGCTGTGTAATTTTTATTTATATTTTATAATATAAAATTATTTCTGTTTATTTAAAATATAAAATATTTATTTTATAAATAGAAAATATATTCTACTTTATTTATCTTTAGATAAATATATATATAAATAATTAATTTATATATATTTTATATTTATATTTATTAATTAATTTTAAGGAAGGGTGGAGACTTAGATGTTAGAGGATCATATCCATCCTGTATTGCTGATGGGTAGTTATTAGCAGGTGGCTGTTTGGAGACAGAGGGGGAATACCCTGAGGGTGTGCATTCACTTTAGAGTGGATTGAAAAGTGAAGTCCAGTAAGACAACTACTGCTAACTGGTGCCATCCTGGTCAGCCTGGGAGGACTGGGTGTGCACTGACACCCACAGTGCTTGGAGCAGGTAAATTTACAGCAGAAGGTGTGAAAGCTTTCACTGCTGCAGCCGTGCTGCCCTGGACCAAGCACAAATCATTTCAGTGTCCAGAACTATCAAACGAGCACAGAAGAGGCTTTCAACTGTGAATTACACAAGGTTAATCGTTCAGGGAACAGTTCTTTTGGAAGGGAAGAGGGTAAAACTCTGCTTGAGAAGATCCCAACCTCTCTGGTTCCATCCCCCAGGTCCGTAACCAGCACTGGAGCCTCATCATGGAGAGCGTGGTGCCGTCGGACAAGGGGAACTACACGTGCATAGTGGAGAACCAGTACGGCTCCATCAACCACACCTACCACCTCGATGTGGTTGGTAAGTGAAGCTGCCATGGGCAGGACAGTGCTTTTCACTAATGACTTTCTCTATTAAAGCATTTAGAACCGAGCCGATACGTTCCGTGTTTATTTTGGAGATGATTTCCCGGTACTCTAAAGATAAGATTTCACTGCATGGCTGATTGCTTCATAACTTTTATGTGTTCATCTGTCTCACTCGTGTCTGTAGGATTAATCTGCCCCTGCCTTGGCAAGATGTGTAACATCCAGGTGTAATATCCACCCACAAGTATACCATGACGACCAAATAATAAATGCTGGTGCAATTTTAATCATTAGTATTACAATTTAATTGTTACTTGTACAATTGTACTAACATAGGTTTTAATAACTGCAGTTATGAAAACTGTCAAACAATCCTTTAGAGTCCTGTTATTATAGCTGAATATTTTTATATTTTTTTTTAATGAAAAGCCAGATATTGACTTTGCAGCTAGAGCAGATCTGGAGCTGCAGGAAAGGCAGTTTGCACTCACAGCACTCTAACAGAGATCTGACTGGAGCCTGTTGGGTGGGCTCTGAGCAGTTACCAAAACACAGGTGATAAAAATTCTGAAGAAGTGTTTTACCTGAGGACAAATTCTAAACAGCTGTGTGAATTTTTAAGTAGTAGCAAAGCTGTGATTACACAAGACTATTAAACACAGGCTTAATAATGTTACCTTATTAATACCTAAATCCCGTTGGCTTTAATATGGCTTACAGATATTTATTTAATTGGTTAGCTAAATTAGAGCTTGAAATCTCAGGAACAATTTCTGTTTACCTCTAGTCTTGCTGATTAGCCTGGATGGGTATGAGCAATTTTATTGACTCTGAAGGCATTGCTGTCCAAAATAACCAGTGTGGCTTTTCTTATAGGAATCCTTTAGGGATCTGAGCCATGGTCTCTGAAGTATGTCTTGAATGGGCTTTACAAGCTCTGTGAATAGAACTATTGATCAATCCCTATTGGAAGCAAAAATTAATTTGATTATTGCATGCTATTTTTGACAGACAGCCCAACTCCATAGATTCTTTGTGGATTATTTTACTGTAAGTGTGGGCTTATATGACTTAAATGGCAACAAAGACGTTAATTTCCCTGGTTCTTGATTGGTTTTCCATGAGTAAAAACATATCCCTTGCATTGTTTTGGATGGTTTCTAAAAGTAGTGCCTTGTTTTGTCTGAGACCACCTAAATCTGTGGAAACACCCAAATCCAAGAGAAAACAAGTGCCAGCTTTTGGGCAGCACAGAAGGAAGACATTCCCTGTGAAAATGCCAAGGAGAGCTAGCCTTTGTGGAGCAGAGGAGGAGAGAGATCCCTTTGTGATGAGAATGCCACCAGACTAAAGCCCCACCACCAGCCCTCGTGCTTTTAAGCCTTCAGAGCCCACGAACCACGCAGCTCACCTGTAGTTGAGTTTGGGCAGTCAACACTGAAAGCAGCGAGGATTTTCCTAGCCTAGGCGATATTTTGTCACAGAGTGAGCTCTGGGTGTGGTTGAGGTGAGCTGGGTGGCTGGCAAAGTCGTTTTTGTTCAAACACTTGTTTAAACAAAGTTTATGGAGGGAGCAGCAGCAGCCGGGGATGGTTGTTGGTGGTTGTAGTGAGCTGTGTTCTTCATGCTGTGGTTCTCTGCTGGCCACCTCATCCAGGGCTCCTGCAGGGGCTTGCCAGGCTCTAGGCCTGACTCACAACCTTTCCTTGCTGAAATGAAACTGGTTAAAAATTCCCCTTCTCTACCCCCTCTTCGTTTTCCTGTCCCAGCCTGGCGTGTTTCATGTTGACCATAAATTTCTTCACCCATTTTTTTTTTCCTAGCAAATGTGTTCATGGATGATGCGGTCACTTGAGCAAATATTTGTCAGAAGCCCTCTCACCTCCTCTCCTACTTTGAGCCTTTTGAATGTCTTGCATTGAGGAATATTTGCAGAAGTTTATTTTTCCTGGCAGTAAATTACAGTGACCTGCATGAATGAATGGAATGGTAGTAAGGATTATGTCATTTATTTAAATGTCTAGTCCTTTCCTATAGAGAGGCAGAAAAGTAAATAATGAGGTTTTCAGAAGCGATGAGAGGTTTGGGGTGCTGGGTACCCAGCTGATGGCACCCAGAGGACCCTGCTTGTGTCCTGTAAGAAATGAAACCTGAAGTCCAAATATTACTTTTGCAAGTCACAACCTGTGTTTTGGAGTCCTGCATATTTAGTAATTTTACCACTCTTTTTTTTTTTTTCATTTCATTTGATGAGTTTGAGGGCATAATTGTGAGTCTGTTTGAAAACCTGTGCATGGGAATGTGCACCTTTGGTTGATTTTGAGTGTGAATCTCTCAAGAGATTGGGATTTTCACCTAAAGGGGGGTTGATGTTGGAGTGCTCAGCCATTCCTGTGTGGCTGGAGGCTTGCAGTAATTGTGGAGCATAAAATTGCTGAAGCAGTAAATTAAGGCTGGCCAGAAGGGGAAACTCTGACAGTTTTTCTAGTTGAGACAGTTCTACAGAGTTAACTTTATGCCCTTTTTTCTGTTTTCATATGAATTTTCAGTTCCCACAGGGCTGTCGGGAGTTATGAATGTTTGTTTAGAGGCAATTGTGTACGTAGACCGCATCTTACAAACTTCAGGTCATAATTTTAGGTCATGTTCTGTGTAGAAAACTGTCAGTTGAAAGCCTCTGAAATTACTTTTCCTATATGGTTTAACTGGTTCCAGAGCTGATTAAGTGTAAGTAATAGCAAATGGTATTAAACATGGTTACATATTACACTAACATGAGCATCTGACTATATGGTGTAATGTAGAGAACCCTCTGATTATGTCACAGAGTTGGGAGGTATCCCAGCAAAAATCGTGCCAAATAGTGACACAATGCTAGTTAGGAATATGCCAATAACTTTCCAAACCTTGAACTCTTTTGACAATTAAAAGCCTGGAGCCAGCAGGGCTGAGAGGTTTTCAGTCAGAATGTAGGTGTGAAGTATTCTCATTTTTACCTTGTAATTACTTGCAAGAACTCTTAAGAGTCAGCTCAGATGGTCTTGTTCAGATTTACAGACCTGGCAAAAACCTTGCACTGAGGTGTTTTTTTTTCACAGTGGGAGTAGAAAATATGGAAGAAAAAAGAAGCAGCAAGTCATTGGCAGCCTCTCTATTGCTCAGGATTCTTGTGCACAGCGACTGTGTTAGCAGGGAATGGCCCATTCAAGTTGGCCAGGATGTTCTGTGCTGGACAAAGTTATTCTTTGAATGTTTGGGATATCCCAGTCAATGGCCTTTTCCTTCCTTCTCCATTTCCAAGTGGGGATTGAAGCAGGGCTTTGCTCAGATGTCTTAGGTTGCAGTAGTGGCAAATGGTGGTGACAAAAAACTCCACCAGGATGCTGTGAAAGGGAGACGAGTCAATTTTAGCTTTTTATTAGAGTAGTACCCAGAGGCTTCAATTAATATTGGATACTTACTGTCCAGGGCAACATGCCAGCACACAGTAATTGCTTACAACAGAAATATAGCAAGGCCAGGAGAGGGAAATGTCACTGTCCATTTTAGAGATGAAAACCCGAGCTCTGTGGAGTGATGAAATTTCTTGCCCTGGGTCACACAGGAAGCTGGTGGCAGAGCCAAGAAGCAAAGCTGGTCTTTGAATCCTAATCCAGTACCTTAATTAAAAGAATGTTCTTTCCCTTGTACAGTTTAGCCCATCAGCTGCTTTTTTACATGCAGCTGAAGTGCCTTTTCTCCTCTTTTGTATTTAACAGCAGGTAGAAACTTGAGTTTTTATGGTAAGCTTACTAATAGACTAACTCCATTCTCATTACACATGTATAAAGCCTTGCAATCTTAAGGGAGAAGGAATGAAAACGATGTGGATTTCACTTATGAGTTGTATTGTAGTGAATCCGGGTTGCAGGAAGCAACGTGGGAATGCAGCCACTGAGACTTGTATATAATTAGATCACTCTTGGATGGCAATTATTGCTGGAGTACAATTTCAGCAGCAGCAGTTCTGCTTGAGTGTGGAGGAACTAATTGAATTTGGGTTTTAACAGCAAAAGAAAAGAAGGTTACTCCTTGAGCAGTCCTGGTCCAGGTAGCAGTTTCTGCCCTATTTAATATTGTCATCCAGGGAGACAAAAGATGGTTTGATTTCAGGTGAAGTTTGCCCCATTACCTCATTTACTGGGATTTATAAGCAGCTGCTATAGCACAACACCTCCACAAAGAATATATGACGACCCTGCTGTTTGCTATAAAAACGAATATGTTGCAAATACAGATTTTTTCAGAAGCAGCCCTTTTGCAGCCAGGTTAGCAGTACTTTGAGCAGCTCCTAATTTGCCTGATAGCCTTGCCTTTGGCTCTCTTTGCTAAGGAGTGAGCTCCAGGGGTGGCAGAGCACCACGCAGCTGTCCCTTAACAGTAATTCATATTTTCATATAAAACCAGTGTGAGAGTAACTTCTCATCCAGAAAGCATTTTAAATGACTCTCAGTTTAAAGCTTGTGCCTCAGAAATCTCATGTATGAGTGATTTTACTGATGGCAGAAAAACACTTTTATTCTGAACTCTTGGTGGTTTTAGAGTGCTATAGGATACATTTTATTCTTGCTTTTTACAGCACACTGTTAAAAATCTTTTGAAAATGGAATCGACATTTTGCTATTGGTACTTCACTGTTTATGTTTCCCTTCATTTAGACAGAAGGAAAAACTTCTGCTTTTGTTTCTAGTCAACTTTTATTTTTGTGCTCTCGCAGTCTCTAGCTGTGAACATGGCATGAGCACATATTTTATTTTTTTTTAAAGATACTTTTCCATTTTGTCATTCCCGGGTTCATCAAAACATACGGATTGTTTGCTTTCTGCTGAGACTTATTGAAATGAAGTTCAGAATTAGTGGGACTCAAGTACAGTTCTTCCCTTAATTTCCAAAGAATTGTTTTTAGGACTCGGGTTATGTACGACAAAGGAGCTGACACCAACTCAATAACAT